AGAGAGAGAGAGAGAGAGAGAGAGAGAGAGAGAGAAACCATCACCTCTACAAGGTGTGGTCATGCTGCAATCCCTTCTCTATTTCTCCACCTTGTCAGGATTTGGGGAATGCATGTGCACAAGCCTAGCATGTTTTACAAGCTGCTAGGTCCAGGATTTGAACTGCAGTTGACTATGGGAAATCTAGTTTCTCAACCACTAGACTACAGGCCAGACCAAGAAAGGGTTCTAAAGGAGAATACTGTACTCTCTCAAAGGCCAAAAATTCCTAATTTTCTTTTTTTTGGAGAGGTTTTTGCTATAGGGCATGTGCACTTGCCAGACAGAAAGAGAGAGACAGAGAGGCAGAAAGAGAAAAATCACCCCTCAGGGGGATGGCCACGCTGCAATCCCTTCTCCATTTTCCTCTCAGGATCTTAGGCATGCATGTACATGGGCCTGGCGTGAGTTTAAGCCACCAGTCTGAGACTAGAACTGTGGTCGAATACATGGGAGTCCAGCGACATAGCCATTACGCCATCTGCTGGTCTCAAGAAGAACTCCTAATTCTAAGCCATCACCTCTTTAGCCCCCCTACCCTGTCCTCTTGCGGAGCTACAACTGGCCCTACCTTCTCATTCTCTCATTTTTTTAAACTTTTTTTTTTTTTTTTTTTTTATTGAGAGAAAGAGGGAGAGAGAGAAAAAAACCTCAAGAGGCCACAGCAATCCTCCCTTAAGTCTTCCCAGTCAGGCAGGAGGGCAGCACATGTCCAGCACGTACAAGTTGATCTAAAACCCAATCTGCCATATGAATCCAGAGCCACAGTGGTGTGCTAACTCTGTGCTATCAAGACTGGCCTTACTGTGTCTAGGTAAAATCCATGGGAAGCGACAGTCCAAACTGTTGGTTGATCTTTTTAAATATCTACTGCTCAATATTCCTTCAACTTTAACTTCAAACTAGACAATACTCTGGGGCAACAGGAAACTGTTCATTTAATTGTAATAACAGGGCTGGTCTAGTGCCTTAGCAGTTAAGGGAGCTGGATCCCACATGGTCAACTGCAGTTTGTATACCAGCCCTAGTAGCTTGGAAAACATGCTGGGCATATGGTAACACATGCCTTCAAACACGACAGGATGGAGACATAAAAGATAAGGTCAGGATTGTGATTGAAGTGTGACCACATCTCATTGGGACAAGCTTTATTCTTTTTTTTTCTTTCTTTTTTTTTTTTTTTGGTGAGTACACACATCCTCTGGCAATTTAAAAACAAACAATCAAAAGCATAGCAAAAGTAATTTTATGCCAGATTACTACAGAAGAATAGGAAAACTAGAGTAAATTAATTCATTTCAGTTTAGTAATTGTTTAAGGAATTTCTGCGATTTTTAAAACATACTATAAAAGATAGTGTTTAGTTTTAGAAAACAACTGAAGAAGTGACCTCACTGGTATGATAAGTAGCCTGACTTTCTGGTTAACCTGGACACAATTGTTATACTGAAACTGTACCAAAGAAAAACTGATCCATTCATTCTGGACTAGTATTCATTTAGACTTCTAAGAAAGTTTGTGGGACTCATTTTCAGATAAGCCCTTCAAAATCTGTATATGTTACTATAAGACAATCCAAAGTCATATTTTCCCTTATGTAAGTCACTATAAAAAACAATTTCAGAGAACTATCTCTTATTTTAGAGATATTTGCTTATTTTTCCTGTTTTTAGTATAATTTCTAGCCTGGTACTTTTCATCTACACTGTAAGAATCATTGTTCCACAGAACATACACTTATACAAACAATACTAGAGATAATATACTCTGTAGAGAGGGAGTAATACAATTAGAATATATCTTCACACATTATACTCATATCAGAGCAATGTAGAAAAATATGTGAATGGAACACTATTCAATCTATATTCGTATGTGGTTAGAAAAAATTGAAATTATAATAAATTAATGCAAATTGTTTTAGCTGAAATCCTGACAATGACTTTTTAAAAACACTGCTAGATTTACTGTGGAAATTATAACCAACTTTTTGTGATAATTAGGAGATACAGCTTCTGGGGGCGGGGTGGCTGGTAGGTGGAGTGGTGGTTAAAGGCACTGGGCTCTCACATGGCCAACCGTAATTTGAGTCCTGGACCTGGCAGCTTGCTCTCTCTCTCTTTTTTTTCTCTCTCTTTCTCTGTCCCTTTCTGGTTAAATTAAAATAAACGAATAAATAAAGTTAAATAAAATAATTCTTTTTAAAAAAGGAAATATAGCTTCTGTTATGCTTGATTCACTCACACCATTAACAAATAAAGTTTGATGAAAATTCTCTGCTTTGAATTTTAAGTCTCTCTCCATTTAGCAGTAATCTCTTTCAATCATAAAAAGACTCAGAGGAAAAGTATGAAAGAGAAAAAAAGTAAAAAACAAAAAAGATGGCTAGCTTATGGTCAAAACATATGGAACAAAGTTGTCCAAAATATTGTCACAACTCTTTTGCTGACAATTCCTTCCCTTCTAGAGTTTTGTCAGACCTCCCAGATTCATTGACAGACTATTATATTCAGAATGGTTGTTGAAAACTTTCAGCACTTAGAAAGCTCTTGAGACATATAAAAATATATTTATTTACAAGGAAACATATAATACCTGCCAAATTTGTAGGTTTGAAACCATTTCCAAAAAGAATTAAAAGGCCTTCTTCCTTGCTGAAATAGGACTATCAATATACGACTTGTCCGCTCATGAAAAATAGCGGGTTCTTGTTTCTGACGTCGCAATTTAGTTTAAAATCACTTTATGATGACAGGGTACATAGAGATGATAAAATTATAAAGATGACAGTTTAATCTTCAAAGATGACCAATCATCGATAAAAGATTAAATAACGTAAACACCAGATTATCAGCTGGTTGGCACACTCTCCATATTGAAGTATGCTGAGATACTACTGATAAGTGAACAAATGCTTTCTCCTCTATCTTATGCAGAAATCTATTCTTCCTCCAAGAGGGGCGAATGAATTGTAATAGCTTTGAATTTACAAAATATATTTTTTTCTAATCATAATGCTATGTATGTAAAATGCTTGAAGTTTTTTTTTAGAATAAAATCTTATTTCTGAGAATTTTAAGTACCTTTAAATCTTCACCTTTTAGAATTCTAATAATACTTTTATATGTACGTACGAGAATGATAAGACATGCTGGTCCTATGAAACTCCAAATAAAGTTGTTTTCTGTGCTGAGCCAACATCTGAAAAGTAAATAATAGATACAACCTATGAACATGTTTGTATGTACTTTAATAAAGCAAAATTTACAAGGATATGCAAAACATACTCAGGTCTGCGTTTCAAATGCTCATGCAATCATCTCGACTTACACTTTGGTGGTCCCATAATATCTGTATCCTAATGCTGCTGAAAACCCAACTACCACAGCTGGGCTGACGTAGCCAAAGATATAAAAATTCTTGTGCAAAAATCCTTTGTTGTAGATGACACCCACGACAATGAGATAGAGGTGTATACCCTCAATGCACATCCATGCAAAGGCAGCTAAAAAGAAGTAATGTAGCAGTCCAGCAATAATTGAACAGAAGAGCTAGAAATCAAAGAAAGAAAGAGAAACATAAGCAAGATTTGCTTTAAAATGATCATAACATGAATCTTTGACTTTCCCATGAATTATGCCACTTTATATAATGATTGATCACATTAAAATATCTCTGTCATGTCAGTTTTTAAAGAAGTACTACTTGTAGTCAATTTAAAAGAACTGTGCTTCATTGCCCTGAAGCATTAACCAATTCTGTGATAGAACTAAGTTACCATTCTCATCTAGAGGATTTATTATTTTTTTTTTGAGAGGTTTTTGCTATAGGGTGTGTGCACTCACCAGAAAGACAGAGAGAGACAGAGAGACAGAGAGAAATCAACCTCTGGGGGATGGCCACGCTGAAATCCTTTCTCCTCCATTCTCCTCTCGGAATCTTGGGCACGCACGCACATGCACCTGGCGTGAGTTTAAGCCACCGGTCCAGGACTCAAACCACAGTTGACTACATGGGACTCCAGCGACATAACCATTACACTAACTGCTGGTTCCATAGAGATTTATCACTTCTATACATCATGTCATGTAAAAAGTTATGTATTATTCACAGAAAACAATAGTATCTCGGTGAATGTGTTATGATTTAAGTTGATTTCTGTTTTGGAGATGACTTTCCTCTCTATTATCCTCAAAGAATCAAAATGATCAATAATACTATGCTAGCAAAATAAAATAATTATCTTGATTAAGTTATAAAATTGAATTTACAAAACAAAATTTTACAACATATTTATTATAGAATCTTTTTAAGGTGTGAGATTACCAGGTAAATTTGAGATAGCTTTCAGTTAATGTTATTTATAAGTGTTTACTTCACACCTAGAATTGAAGGTAGGGTTATAAGAAGTAACAGAAAAAGAAGTAATTGCATGCTCCTGTATTAATAGAAGTAACAGTATCTATCACAGGAGTGATCGCGTAACACACGTGTACACATCTATCTCATTAACTAGAACAGAATATAGTTAAAGAATAATGAGATTATATACTAAATTTTGTCAGCAAATCCTGTGTAAGTTTGGGGAACAGAGAGATCACTGGCAATTAAAATTTGGGAACCATTTTAGTGAAAGGTGATTTAGTGAGATTTGAGATACAGTTTGAAAATGGGAAAGAGAAAGTGAAAGAGAGTTAACAATAAACACTGTAAGAAATACTTTAAGGTGAAAATCATGATTGGAAAAGACTTGAAAGAGGAAATAGGCACTGGACGATAATTGAAGGTATACAAAATTGAAAGGTGTTATGAACACCCCTACGAGACATGAAAGCAGAGAGAGAGTTTATACACTCTCCTATACTATTTGTAATTTTGGCATAGTTTCCTATGTTAATATGTATGAGAAGAATGGAAATACGTAGGCAATTTCCTGTCTTGTGGTCATGAGAATATACTTATGCCATATCTGACTGCAAGGAATATTGACCTAGGACTCCACTGGCTGCAATATAAAACCTATTGCTGTGTTGACTCTTTCCACAGGCTGCTGCCAGCCAGAGCTTGAGCACATCAAGACATTCTTGTTCTTGAGCGACACTTTGGCTGAGGACTCCCTGAGGACTCCTGTTTATTTGTAATTTTTTAATTAATTAATTAATTTATGTTTAGAGGTTTTTGCTATAGGGCATGTATGCTCACCCAAAAGAGAGAAAGAAAGCGAGAAATTACCCCTGTAGGGGGGATGGCCACTCCTCAATCCCTTCCCTTTCATTCTCCTCTCCGGATCTTGGGGCACACAAGCACACGTGCCCAGCGTGAGTTTAAGCCACCACCGGGTCTGGCGGCCTGAGGACTCCTGAAAGGACTCTGACAACTATGTTGAACTTTCCTTAGAAGTGCAACTGCTGTGGGGGTCAGCAGGTGGTGTGATGGTTAAGGGTGCTGGACTCCCATATGGTCAAC